AATCTACTCTCGGGGGAGGGGGGGACAAATAAAGGATTCAGTTCGGAATGTCCCTTAGGTTGCCCGGATCAACAAGCATTTGATGAAGGCCGGAGGACACAAAGGCCGAAATGTTGTGATAACAATGACAAAGATGAAGACGTGTAAATATATCCTGTTATATTCTTCAAAGATTTCTCGTTGCTCACATGCTCTCTCCCGTATGGGCACCTCGATAGAAAGTTTGACTTGCTAGATCAATTACGTGAGTAGTGAGTTCAATCCTAACTGGGTGCTCCATACTTTCGGTCTTGTGCCACATCTAAGCCGGGATTAGAAAACCACCATGGTCTCTCCCGTATATTCTCTACGTTTACTCGCTGGAATCACATCTGTGAATTTGTCCAGAATCTCCTGGTATAGAAGAGATTATATACTGAATAGCATTCCAACACTTGTTTCTTTGTTTCTAACGAAAATTTACTATTAAGGCCCTTTTCTAACAATGTTATTGATCCTGACCTGGCACCTCGGCTCTTCTCGTTCGTTTTCTGACTTTTTTCTTTCAAATCAACTTTGATCTTCAAAAATTTAAATGCAATGTCAATAGTTATGTTCTATCTTTTTCTTAATTCCAGATCTTTTATTGTCCGCTCCAGTAGTAATAGTTCTCATATTCTGTAACACTCAATAAATCCCCTCCTTTGCTTCTTAGTGGCTTTATTGCCTTGCTTAGGGTGAAATGATGAAACAAAAGTCCTCATAAGCTTAGTTTATGAAGGATTTCTTTCGCTATAGCTATAAGGCTTCAGATTTCTGTGTCACGTATTCTGTCTTCCCTTACTACACTAACTAGATAGTTAAATTCTTGTCGTTAGTTGATTTTAACGTCCCTAATTCGTTGCTCAACCTTGAACTGTATCTTTAGCTTACGCCTATGCATTCAATCTTCCTACTTTTAATAGTTCTTTCTTCTTGCTTTCCAATATCACAGGCATTAAGGAAGTTAATACATACATTCTGCCTAGCAAAATCAGGCATAGATTCCGACGGAAAGATAAATGATTCGTTTGCTTTAAAATTGTAGTGTTTGAGGTGGGAGACTTCATTTTTTCCCCCTTTTCCTTTCTTTTCGTTTTTTCTTTTTAAAGCATTTTTCTTTAAAGATGTTCTCTTGCCAGATTTAATGTCGGTGACCCATGTAGTAAACACATTCATTACAGCTGAACCCTTGCACTGTGTTCTTATTGGCAATAGGCCACAGCGATTGGTCTTGTGATTGGCACAACTTGACAGAGAAAAACTGTTCGCCTAATGGGAAGACCGGACGTTTTCATGAGAACATGGCAGTCAGGAGCGACACGTTTCAAGCGAACCATCACGTGACACCACTCCATCAGCCAACGCTTTATGTCTTGCCTATTATTTTGATTGGATTCTTTTCGTTTTTTACGAGACTCACACACACACACACACACACACACACACACACACACAAACACAAGAGTACACACACACAGGTATAATAAGTGCACATATATGAATATACAATCTCAAATACATTGAATATATATATATATATATATATATATATATATATATATATATATATATATATATACTTCATATCATATATAAAAGAAAACTTGCAAAATTTTTTTTTCGGTAATATATATATATATATATATATATATATATATATATATAGATAGATAGATAGATAGATAGATAGATAGATAGATAGATAGAGATAAATAGATAGATAGATAGATATGTATATTACAAAAAAGCATGAAAGAATCGCTACACAATTGGAGTTACCATGCGTCTCCTGAGGCGATTGTAAATTACTGGCAAGTTAACGATTAATATTGCTTTACTATGTATTAAGCCCACTTTTAAATTAAATGTTCCGAACATTGGAATTGTACTCTATTCGTTCTCATCGTACCTGGATATATATATATATATATATATATATATATATATATATATATGTGTGTGTGTGTGTGTGTGTGTATATATGTGTGTGTGTGTGTGTGTGTGTGTGTGTATGTGTGTGTGTGTGTGATGAAATACAGTTTTAACCTATGCTATATTTATGAGTAAAAGTGCTCAATATCAGCGTATGTAAATATAAAAATGTACATTGACGTTAAAAGAAAACAAGCTGCGACAGTCTTAAACAGGTGCACATATATAGATATACACCCCACGGATTCATAAATTATCAAATACATAAATATCCAAATACACAGCAAATCATATGATATAATGGAATATGCATACACCTGTGTTCCCCTTCACTGGAATATGATTGGCTGGTGTCCGTCATAAATACCGACGGACGTGTAGGTACGACTATATTTAGTCGTCCACCCACGAGGGCGTCATGTGGCACAAGGCCTTTTTAACGTGGGAATTTCCGAGCCATTAGGCTCGGCCAAAAAATAGCCCATTTGAACCCGTATAAACGGGTTCAGGGCCGGTTTTACCTCCCCGGAGGAGACTCCGCCCTTCGGCGTAGCCTCCTTCGGGTTCCTCTCCGTCCGCAGACAGAGAGTTGAACCGAACCGTCGCTCTGAAAGTGAGCGGCGGACTCACGTGTAGGTACGACAGAGTCAAAGAGCCTTTAACGACGCCCATTGGACTCCGCCATTGATCTACACTTCTTACCTGCGACTACGACGCGTACCAGTTCAAATATATCCCTTTCCGGGACATATCATTATACATTCTACATAGGCATCATTTTATATGTAAAACATAAAACTTGCAAAACTGTTTTTTTCAGTATATATATATATATATATATATATATATATATATATATATATATATACGAATAAAGAAAAAAGTAAAAATTATTCTTAGCAGACGAGTATCATCTGTGAGAGACTTTATCAAGGTAAATGTCATAATCATAATAGTTTTCCTCTTTTTATACATTTTGTTCTGTTACAGATAAACCCTCTCTAAAAATAATTTACACACACACACACATATATATATATATACATATATACATGTATATATTGCAGGAAATTTTTTTCTCCTGATGATGGTGATGCTGGCCGAAACTAGTCGAGGAATGTAACTGAAATGATAAAAAACAAAAATGTTAATATACAAGCCAGTGTGCCTGAAGATTTTAATTTTTTAATATTATTTTTTTATTATCTGTCTATATTTCTGAGATGAGGTATTATGTACATTATTTACGTTATTCGGACTATTGCCATCATCTTTGTCACCATATTTATTACAACGTTTCGGCCGTTGTACGCTCCGGCCTTCTTCAGGTGGTTGGAATGTCGAACTGTGGTAGACTGTTCTAGTTCCACGTGCCATATTCAATGGATGTCAGTTATCTCCTGTTAATTCCCCTCTGAAAGTTCTCCACTACCTTAACCAGTGGATAAAGGCGTAAGTTAGATCCAGTGACAGGACACAAAGAGTGTGAGTTCAATACCCGGTTAAGACAGTGGAGAACTTTCAGAGGGAAAATTAACATGAGATGACTGATAACTGACATCCATTAAACATGGCACGTGGAACTAGAACAGTCTACTCCAGTGAGTAAAATAAATGGTTCAGTTCGACATTCCAACCACCGGAAGAAGGCCGGAGCGTACAACGGCCGAAACGTTGTAATTTTTTATGTTCAAAACACACACACACACACACACACACACACACACACACACACATATATATATATATATATATATATATATATGATAGAAATTTTGGGGGAATTCATTGTAATTCATGGAGTCTAGGAGAATCTTCAACAGAATGCAGAAAGCGCTGGACGGACGTTTCATCATTTTGGGGACTCCTCGTCAGTGCGCTATATTCTCGGTAGTGAATGATCACTGCTGAGGAGTCCGAAATAGGACGAAACGGCCGTCCAGTGGCTTTCTGCATTCTGTTGAGGATCCTTCTAGACTCCATGAATTATTATGAATTCTTATTTAAATCACCCCCTAAATTTCTATCACTTATGTACCCTTGCTTGTTCCAACTTCTAATACGCTAGAAGAAGCGTCTTGCTGAAAGAAGACGTTGCTGATGGGGTTCTATTCGTTGGCTTATGGATACTTGGATGAGTATCAGCACCGGAATTTAGTGAGTAGTTGCGCTAGATTGAGTCTAGTTAGTTTCTTTTTAGTTACCGAGGGGCGTTGGTCCAGTGGCTAGATTCTCGGTAATGGATGTGCACTGCTTAGGAGTCACAAAAAGGACGAAACGGTCTTCCACTGGTTTCTACATTCAGTCGAGGAATATTCTAGACTCGATGAGTTACTATGAATATATATATATATATATATATATATATATATATATATATATATATATATATATATATATATATATATCATAGGAAATGGAAATAAAATAGAGCATTTAATTAAATTCATAAAAATAACGTATAAACAGAAAATATATTTGTCGGATTTAATCCGTTTCCTATGATATGCTGTCATTGTTTACATTAGATTACATATTCAGTGCAGATATGACAGATCGAGAAAGATCGGCGAAAGTGTGTATTTAAAAGCATTAATTCGTGCTTTGCTTAACCGGAAGTTCTCTGTGGCTGAATGGTCATAGCGCGCGAAGTTTAATGTTGATTCCGTATAGGATGCAGGTTCGAGTTCTTTCGGAAAACCCATGTTTTCTACGAATTTTTTTAAACATTTAGGCCGGTAAATGTAATACTGTTTAATTAATGAGCATTTACTCAAATAAGTATATTCATAAAACAGGAGATATATATATATATATATCGTAATCCGTATGGATAATTAGAAAGAGGATATAGATCCAGAGAGAGCTCAATGTAAGAACAGAGCAAACGATAAATATGAAAACAGAGACTTTAGAAATCCATGGTAATATTTTATTTCGTGAAACCGATATATCGTTTTCGCGTCATCAGACCAAACGGTTTCAACAGTAAATGGATTTTAAATTTTACCACTCACAAGAAGAAATATTTAAACATAAATTATGTTTTAATACGTTGATTCAAAAAGGGGGAAGGAAAAAAAAAGAAAGAGAAAGGGGGACAAACGGGGGTATGACTGTCTAGTGAGACATACGGGAGGCGGTAACATAGAAGATGAAACAGTAGTGGTTGAGAGTAGACAGGTTGACCTTTTTTTTTTTTCACTGCCTGTGGGAAGTGAAGTAGAGATAGTATCTTTAAAGGGAAACAAAAGAAATAAACAAAGGAAATATAGCAAAGGAAAAAAAGGAAATCGGAAGAAAAATAGAAAAAAGAAAGGGAAAACTTGAGAAATGATTCGGAACGGATAATCTTCGGTGTTTCAAACTGAATATATTTGAAAATTTTCAAGTAGTTATTTATACACGTGTAATTGAAAAAATAGGTAATTAATAAAAAGTAAAATTACGAATAATTTTAAATATATATATATATATATATATATATATATATATATATATATGTGTGTGTGTATGTGTGTGTGTGTGTGTGTGTGTGTGTAAAAGATTGTTTTTTAAAAAAGATTTCTAAAAATAATAATATTATAAGAAATGGATCATTTTAAATAAATCAAAAATAAAAACAATATAGTTATGAAGATACATATGCACCGATATGCATATGACCACGAAAAAACACACAAACACACAACACACACACACACACATATATATATATATATATATATATATATATATATATATATATAAATATATATATATATATATATATATATATACACCTATATACGTATAAACATACACGTACAAATACAGTAATACATAAATTACATTCTGAAAAATCATGTACGCCTTCATCTGTATACATATAGAGACCAACATATACAAACGCACCAAAAAGAGTACAAAATATATACATTTAAGTATTTAACCTAAAAACATATACACATACCCACATTTAAACACACACACACATATATATATATATACAGACATACACATATATATACACACACACACACACACACACACACACACACACACATATATATATATATATATATATATATATATATTAAAAAAGAGAGAAATCGAAAATGTGGATTTCTTTTAGTGTGTATATTTTAGTTTATTATAGTTTATTCTTCATATTTTTGCTACACGTATTTCCGGTCTCTTGATCTTCTTCAAGCAAATACAAGGAATAAATTTATTCCTTTGAAAACTTATTCCTTTAAAAAATTAAATTTTTTTTCCTTTAATTTGCCTGAAGAAGGTTACGTGACCGAAAACCCGTGTAGCAAAAATATGAAGAATAAAATATAATATATATACACTAAAACAAATTCACATTTACGGTTTCTTCTTTTAAAATAATAATTTTTTCTTGTTATTTAAATATACAGGTAAAATTCTGTGGTTAAGTAATCCAAGTAGATTCTATTAATATAAAATATTAAAACTGATCCACAAAAGAGAGCTCAATATATTTATTATAGAGCATATAAGTGAATAACAAAAATGAAATCCAAATTACCCCATTCAGATGATCATTTTGTCCCCAGGAGATTCTCCCTGGGACTTCTCAATGCAAATATATTTGTTAAAGAAATGACTTATAACGTTTTTTTTAAGTAATTTCAAAAATAACTCCCACCACTACTCTAATTTTATGTAATTTCGAGATATTAAATTCTGTAGAGTTTAATGTTTGTATTAGTTGAAAACAGAACTCCTCGGAGAATTTAAATCGTCAATTTCTATTTGTAAAACAGGGCCCCTACTTACTGAAAAACTGCTATGAATCGTAAAAGTCAGTATTTAATCAAAAAATAATTTAATTGCTTATGAATGAAATATATTTTGGAAGCTATTGTCGTAAGAAAAATATCTTCGATGAATAATGAATTTTTACAATAATTATTTACATTTTTAAAAAATTTAATTATAATAATTTATAAAGTTTTAAATCTTTTAAAATTCTCTCTTACTCAGAGGTTAAATGGTAATGTTATTAAGTCAAAACTATATTTACTAATCATAAATGGAAAAGCTTATTATAATTTAATTTTATATTTTAAGAAGAATTTTGATTTTTTTGGATTGATCTAAAACGAACGTCCATATATAAGATTATCAGAAAATAGGAGCGATAACCATTGTAAATTTAAAACCAAAGTACTTAAAATTAAATATAACGTTATGATTAATCAAGTAATTTTATATATAGCAACCATAGAAATAAATTAGATAAACTTCCGTCTGTTAATCACGATGTCTATATGTCAACACCTTAAATAAACAGATGTTAAAAATATAATCCTATGGCATTTTCAACTTAAAGTAAGAAATAAATTTGTTTTAAAGCAGATTAGTTAAACTTTAAATCAGATAAATTTACCTCAAATAAAGTTTCAGAAAAGTATATTTTATTTTTGGAAGATTATATTAATAAAGAGAATTACATGACGGTTGGCTAAAAATGGCATTAAAATCACTGATTTTAGCAATTTCAAAACGAAAACTGTTAATTTAAATTAGTTTTGAAATACAGAAGTGGTATTTTGCTTATTAGAAGTATTAAATTTAATCTGTTAGCTGTTAGCTTGAAATTAAAATTAGAATAAAACCTTCAACAAATATATTTCATTTTTAAAAATTCATTTTAAACACTTCGTATCGTGCTTCGGTGGAGGTACCTAATTTTTTATCACATATATATATATATATATATATATATATATATATATATATATTTATAGTTCTGAGTTTAAAATGCCAACATAGAACTTGTTGGCTGAAATAGCTATTCTGATGAGGTAAGTTTGGATTACTTTATATGCTCTGTTATAAATACATTGAGCTTTTTTATGTATCAATTTTAATATTTTATATTATTAGGATTCACTTGGATTATATACCAACTTATTATATATATATATATATATATATATATATATATATATATATATATATATATATATACGACCTATACCTAGGCTGTAAGTAATTCATTAAAACAAGTTTATTAAAATAAAATCGTTAGTTCTTTTGCCAAACCTTTACGTTCGATATATTGATGACATCTTCATATTTATAGAAAACCTAAGCTAATTATAAAGAAATGTAAAGTAATCATTGAGACGAACTTTGTCCTACACATAGGAATTTAACATTAACAGTAGAATTTCTTTTCCTGTTTCAATAGTAGTGATAATTTTACAACTCTATAAAAAAATTCCCACAGGCAAAACATCTTGACTTCTTAATTAAAGAAGTAAATGTCCTCAAAGATATAAAATGGCTGTTCATAAAGACAATAATCAACGGAGCAAAACTATTGTCTTCGAGACAAAGATTATTTTACAAAGAATTGATCAAAATAAAACAATAACTTAATAATAGTTTCCCTATACGCATTGTCGACGTGCAAATAGAATTAGCTTTTAAAGCATTTAAATAAAAAAAAATAAAGCAGCTATTCTGATATAAATAAAAACAACATAAACTGATTCTATTTTATCCAGAGGCTCCCAACTATAAACAAAATGAAAGAAAAAATTATATATGGACTCATCATTCACTTTATTACATACTAGCAGCATGGCCCGGCGTTGCCCGTGCTTGATTCAAAATTCGTACGACTCATACAGCAATCGCTATCACATGACTTAAAATATTTTTGCCCCTTCCTTGCCTTTAAAGGGATGCCCTTTGCCGCTCTGATGTTGCTATATGCCTTACTTCTTGCTTATCTCACACTGCCATTTTTTTCTAAGCTCTATACTAAACATTAAATCTGTTACGATAAAAGAACTAAACAAAATGAACACAAAACGATCAGTTTTAAAAAAGGACTCGTAACTGGAAATACCGAATGAAAAAAGAATGTTAACAACAAATACTTTTTCACACCCAACCCAGTTCTGCGGAATCAAAATCAACGTTACGTTTAAGCAAGCGAATGAACCAATTGGACTAAAGTGGCATGCAGATTTAAATTTTTCCCACTTGTAACGGATGCAGCTATCGATTTTTTTTTTTTGCATGCTAGCATGCTAGTTAACATTCGTGTCAGTCAGAAGTTGGCTCTGACGCTGGACAATAGAATCTTCCTGCCTATTCGTGGCAGCCAGCTATAGGTTTTAACTCTGGCCAGTAGAAAATGGCCGCAAACTACATGAAAACTGCCGTAGAAGCATGACAAAATTGATTATTTCCACTATCGATGGGAGTTGGGAAATGCAAAGTTAGTCTTGGCCTTTCTACTAACTTGGAGCATGTGCATGTAAATTTTGGTGCAAATCTGTCGAAAATTGGGACCGTGCATTACTCTAATATTGCGTTTGACACCCTCTCGTCTTTAGAGCTGCCTCAATTCTACTTTGTTTGGAAATCGATGGATTTTTGGAAGCAATCTTTAAAAATTGTGGTCCTCATTCATAATATGGTGTCCTACATTTCTTCTAAATTCGGTAGCTATACATCCAGGATTCGGATCTCCCTTTTCACCACATCTCACGGGTGCTCTAAGATATTGAGATCTGGTAAGTGAGTGGGCAATTTAATATAAAAAAAAAGATTGCTATGTTCCAGGAAGCAATCTGCCTCTATATTCTATTCTTGATATAGTCCATAGCTCTGGAAGTAGTCATAAGTCGATGGGTACAGAGCCAGTGTTAGGGCTTCCTGATACCTATCTCCCACCCCAGAATATGGGATACAGCCCTCCTCTCTGAATCTATGATACAGCCCCCACTCTGCTACATCTCAATTTTCTTAAAGTAGTATTCATATAAAATATAAATTTTATTGTAACCTAATTACGTAAAATAATGGATCATATTATAGATGAGCGATTCAACTAGAAAAGTTGAAAATAATTACAATGTATCTAAATACAAATTAGAGACATCCCATCTTAAATAAATAAACAACGTTTTGCAGCAATTCTTAATATGAACCTGAGATTTTTCTTTATAAAAAGTTGAAAAATTTTAACACATTCAACATTATGGATGAAAAATAGAGAAATTTATATAGTGTTCTTTTCTTTCTTTCTTTTTTTTTTTTTGATACTTAGCCTGAGAAAAAGAAATTGACAGATTTGGGCACGTCAAAAAATAGACCAGAAAATGACGTCAATATCCGAAAGAATATTTTAAAAATATTCACCCTGCAATCCCCACTCAATTTTATTTTTTTTAAATTTTTCTAATTTGAGCATCCCACAACATTGCTTTTATAGATATTTTAAAACATTGTTGCTATACTCATAATTAATTTTATTTAGTGTTGTTTTTTTTTTATAGATAGTACTTTGAGAATTTGATGTTTTGTAACAGCACTAAGAAATTGATCCATGAATTTGGGAGGATTAAAATAAAAATAAATAGACATAATATGTCTAAATTATTCAATCAAACATGCTTGAAGGAAAATATGCTGCCTAAATATTCATAGCTTATATATATATATATATATATATATATATATATATATATACATAAAATATTAAATCAAAGATTTGAATTAACGGTTAATTGTAAACATATCATACCTTTGACTCTATAATCTTGCAAGACTTTGAAATTTTACAACTGCTTCTTCTTTAGAAAAAACTTGTTGCACCATATAAAGCTAATCTTTCTGTCAGTAAGATCAATTTCGACGTAGTATCCATTATTCTTCTAGTACTGCTGGTAATATTTAGTCTAGAGGTATATGCGTTTGGCCGACATTTTGAAATTTGTTATTGATTGGTTTTATTAACACCCTATATAAGACACTTTAGTCGCATTCTATTTTGTATAATCTATATTTTTTAATTAATTTTATATGATCTATATGTTTAAATCTTTGTTTAATTTAATAAGACATTTTGATTGGTGGATCTGATTAAAACAAACTCTGCTGCTATCTCTTCCCTCTTCTTTCTCACACTTTTTTCTCATTCTTCCTTTTCTCCATTGTATCTTGTGTCTTTCTTTCTTACTCTTTTTCTTTTCTTCCTTTATTTTTCGCGTGAAAAGAGGTTGCATTTGGTTTTACCTCTCAATAAATTGTCTAGTAACCAGTCATTTACTAAGGCCTGATGAGATGTGTTGATGCACATCGAAACATGATTGCATTTGTGTAGCGCTGTTTGCATGCTTTTATGTAATATCCTAAAATAATGTTTTATATATATATATATATATTGTTTTATTTATATATGGTGGAGGCACGGTGGCGTAATGGATAGCGGCTTGGATTGAGGAATCGCTGAGCCGAGTTCGAATTCCAGTCGAATCAATTATATTCACTTACGTGCTAATACCCTTGGGAAAGGTATGAATCCTCTTCTTCTCCCTCCAGCTATGGATAAAATAGCAGGACAGACTGGGTTCTATAGCCTTGGATGGCAACTAGTCTAGGAGAAGGACAAGTCTGAATTCAAAACGTGCGGAGGGTCGTTTGGGAACCTTGTGGCATTCAGTGAACCAGGTCTCTGTATTCAGCCCTTCAAAAAGTGTGGATGGTCCTGCACGAGGCCTTCACCACTATAATCAAATCTCATGTGCCGGTGTTGAGAGAGTCGACTATATATATATAATTTTTTTCTATTTTTAATGTTTTAAAAATACCCAACCTGCAATTTTAAAAAATCAATTATTTTACAATTTGAGTATCACGAATCTTTGCTTTTATAGACGTTTAAAAACATTGTTGCGCTACTCATAATTAATTTTATTTTAATTTTTTTTTATATATATATTGAGCGCTTCATGAGTTTGAAGATTAATTGCTTTTTGTTCCTACAATTACCTGCTATGGACAAATAGTTAACCCCCAAACTGGGGTCAAAACACCATGTAAGTATTAAAATAGAAACCCTCTTTACAAAAATACGTCACTGAAACTGATTTCTTACATATTCCATTCATACGAACCTATCCTAAAAACTTGTCGGCATCAAATAACCCATTGAGGTGTTGATATGCCGTAAAACAAAATAAATAGACAAGAGACAATCTACCTTCAACCTATTCGAACCATACTGGCGTACCATTGAAAAAGGATATTGTCAAAAGCGGAGGACGTAGAGAAGATTGCAGAGAATGCATCGTTAATTCCTGTTTAATACAAAAAATCAATTCATAGAATTCAGCTTCTTGATTTCGTTTCTATAACTGCAGTCCTCTGCTCTTCCCTGTCAGCAAAACACAGTTAGACATGTGACTGTGTAAAATTAAATAAGACTACTAATTGGTGTTGGGATAATTAGCTTTCTTTCTTCTCAGCACGTTTCGCTGTCTCTCAAAATTTAGCACATTAGCAAACTCCAATTTACATAAAGATTTTTATGAGAGGTTGAGGTCGACAAAGACCCCGAGGCGTGGTTGGTGCAGGGAGGGAAAATAAAGAACAACAAACACGTGTCACTGTGAATTTACGGCAAATTTGAAAGCTGAGTCTCGCATATAAAAGTTATTAAGTATTTTGAATTGAAAAGGCATCATTGTTTATTATATATATATATATATATATATATATATATATATATATATATACAAACATCGCTTTCTTAGAGCCATGAAAAAAAAACACGTCCGTTTACTCCGACATCAGCGTTTTTGAAGAAGCGAGAGCAAGATCTAAAAGGTTAGCCAATCTAACAGTGATCTCATCTCACAATCCTCACACTTGCTCCATATGTGGCCTCCTTTGTAAATCACTAGCGGGTGTTAAGTGCTACTTAAAATTATCGCACAAAATTTCATAACTGAATAAATTAAGCTGCCAGATCCTCATACGTCGAAACCAACGAGACAGTTCATTATATATATTTACGGAGCTTTATAATTTCAAAATTAGTTATTCCAAAATTCGCTTGAGGATGAAACAGAACTACAAACTTTAATTTAATTTAATTTCTAAAATTGAATTGAAGTTTTATAATATATATATATATATATATATATATATATATATATATATATATATATATATAATTTACACTTTGGACGGGCAGTATTTACACTTTTGACGGGCAGTATTGCTTATATAAGTTGACATAGAGTCAGCTGTCAGTATCACCCTCGAATGCTTAGCCTTGGAGCGGGTAGAATGGAGATCAACGTATTTTAATGGGCTCGGCAGTTTTCAATCAGCTTGTCTGAATCATCTTCAAGAAGCGAGAGCAAGATCTAAAAGGTTAGCCAATTTAACAGTGATCTCATCTCACAATCCTCACTCTTGCTCTATATGTGGCCTCCTTTGTAAATCACTAGCGGGTCTTAAATGCCACTTAAGATTATCGCACAAAATTTCATAACTGAATCAATTAAGCTGTCAGATCCTCATACGTCGAAACCGACGGGAGAGTCCATTATTATCCACAAATGAGAGAAAGAACAAATAGAGTAAAAATTCACTGTTCGTAGCATTTACTTTTAAAAATAAAAGTTGAACAGAATATCAAGAATTAATGACGTTAATGTGTTTGACTAATGAAAATGGAATCTGTAAAGGAGAAAAAGACTTCAAATGTATTTAAGTGTGTTGGGATGAATAAAGAAATCTATATGTCTATTCATTTCATTATGGTCAGCACATAACCTGAGCTGTAAAAAGATACTTAACAACAAAGCAAGAAAAAGTTGTAATTTCTAGAACATAGAATGAGGAAACCGCGCTTGGAGAATTTGACACTCAGATGGCATTCTGAAGGCAAGAGAAAACTTAACGAGTTTATATATAAGTGGATGGTAAATTAGGGACGGTAACAAGGGTCTGTTTAGGACAGGTGTAATATAAATCCCAGGTTAGCTTCATGAGTGTTGAAGAAACACGAATGTGCATGAGAAGACGTCTGTGATAAGAATTAGCTAGCCTCCCTGGTAGACGAGTGAAGTCCGGAACGAACATCATATATATATATATATATATATATATATATATATAGCAAGACAGACTATGTTCTAGAATCCTTGATGGAAAAACACTGAGATAGATAGATAGATAGATAGATAGATAGATAGATAGATAGATATGGACAGAATGAAATAAATAGATAGATATCTATCACTGTGGTGATAGATAGATAGATAGATAGATAGATAGATAGATAGATAGATAGATAGATAGATAGATAGATAGATAATGGACAGAATGAATTAAATAGATAGATATCTGGCACTGTGGCAATAGATAGATAGATAGATAGATAGATAGATAGATAGATAGATAGATAGATAGATATGAATAGACTGATATAGATAGATAGATAGATAGATCCTGATTTCCATTGGAACGTTTTCTTGATTTATTGGTAAACTGAGAAGATACCTTATACCGAAGATAAAAATATTTCTGAATAAACTCCTATTTTCTTTTCTTGTGTACAAATTTTAGTTTTTAAAATTCAATTTATTCTCCCCGTGGAAAACTCCTTGAGAATCCCACTGAAATTTATTAAATGTGAAAAAAACAAAAAAAAACACAAATCGCTTCTAAAATTGAACAGGATAACGTTATAAAATCCCCCCTGCTTGATGGCTGATATAATCCAGTTTGTTTTTTTTTCTCAACTAGAATTGGTAATTCCTTACTTTGTCATAAATGCATCAAAATCTTTTTGAAGTGGCCTAAATATGAATTTAAAATAATAAAGTTCCAGTAACATTCAACTATTTCTTCTTAATTCCTCATCAAATATTGCAACTCATTCGCAACATCGAAATAACCATCTTGGTAGAAAAAAATATTTTCAGAATAATGAAGAATTTGCAGAACAAATGAAAAATATTTCAATTATCAACGAGCAAAAATAAGTTAGAGCATTCAAAAATGTTTGCATGCCGTTCATTCAAAAAATAAAGATTTCTTTTACTGTTCATAAAATGGCCGATACACATGGGCGTATTATTGTCATACATGCTTTGAACGTAACAAAAGTTGGAATTAATAATGTTTGAAAATAACGAAAAATGTCTTACATTTGGAAGAGGAACCTTGAAATTTATAATTTCGAGGATCACAAAGATGTTAGGCTTGCCGTTCGTTGATTCACAAGGAAAATATCAATTTCCCTTTGTCTTTGATTGTTCTTTACGTTTTCAATGTCTTCAAGAATCGAACTCTTTTATTTGATTCACGCTTCAACGATGCCTTTGATTAAAGAAGACACAAGCCAACTTGAAAGGTTTCTTGGAATTCAAGGTTGCTGACTTTATATTCTCTTCTTCTTCTTCTTCTTCTTCTTCTTATTATTATTATTATTATTATTATTATTATTATTATTATTATTCTTCTTCTTCTTCGTCTTCTTCTTCTTCTTCTTCTTCTTCTTCTTCGTCTTGGTCTTCTTCTTCTTCTTCTTCTTCGTCTTCTTCTTCTTCTTCTTCTTCTTCTTCTACCCCCTCTTTCTATCTCTCTCTATATATATCACACCACTTTTTCTCTTGTTCTGGTTTTCTTTTTTCCTCTCTTCACTTTTTCTTCTTTTCCTCTCCATAATTTTCCGTGTCCTCTTGTCACAACGTATGACATTTTATATTGACAGTTTTCACCCCACTTCTTTTTCTTTCCTATTCTTTCTATTGACTTCTCCTCCTCCTCCTCCACCTCCTCCTCCTCCTCCTCCTCCTAATCTTCTTCTTTTCTTCTTCTACTGCTGCTTCTAATTCTATTCGATTTGGTTCGATCTAAATTCGGTCACACTAAACACTGTCTAAAGTCCTTTGATTAAAGCTAATCGATTCCATCGAATGGCTGTCATTAGTAATCAATTTCGTCATCTTAATCATATCAAAGAAAAAAAGCTATAAACATTTTACAAATTTGAACGAAATCAACCGAGGGGTGTGTACACACACACACACACAAACACACACACACACACACACGAATACATATATATATATATATATATATATATATATATATATATATATATATATATATATTGCTACCAATTTTATCATATATATATATATTTCTGGTTATCTTCCTTACATTGGGACGCGCGTTTTGAAAAACATTCCATAGCTACAACGGATAAATTTAAGTTTGAAAAGAATTATAGCAGAAAGCTTCAATATATATATATATATATATATATATATATATATATATATATATATATAAAAGTGAACACTGAACTGTTTCATGCTAGACGCAATCGTGATTGCGTCTAGCATGAAAAGGACTGTCGCCTCTAAGTGTTGACTTCAATGTTCACTTTTATATTTACACACGCTCAATCTCTGATATTGAGCACTTTATCGCATAAATATAGCACACCTTAAGACTATATTTCTTCACACACACACACAAATATATATATATATATATATATATATATATATATATATATATATATATATATATATATATATATATATATATTGCTTCTAGTCTGGCAAAAGACCACATATATATAATACTTGTTTTCTGGGAGAGGAACCTGTTGGGATAAAAGACGCCCGGGCATATTAGATCCCCAGAATGACCGCCGAATGTCGCTGGGGTAATGTGTTGGTCTGGTCTGGTTTGGTTTGGTTTTCGCACGTACGCACAATTAGGGAGCTTCTTTCCATTGAAAAAAAAGAAATAAATAAATAAACACTGATGTTATATAGCTCTCCCCAGCTCCAGATCCATGGGGACTATTGGCTAATACCTGCCCAGTATCGTTCATATGTAAATAGACAGCGCCCCCTACTCTAAGTAGAAGGTCTTCTCTCAACAACCCATTGTGGGAGGGGGCGCTACTCCTGGTGCTTACAGCACCATATACAACCAACTCAGAGACTTTTATCGGGCTAGCCCAATTCTCTGTTACAGGTAATGATTCTTTTTTAGACGCAGACCAGATGAGACATTTGTTGCCGAGCAATAAAGGAAGTTGCACGTGTTCATACATTCTATTGTCTGAAATAAATGAGTGAATAAATCTGAGGCACGCTGATTAAAATCAAGTTGTGATGTTAATCCGTAAAGTTGATAAAAGTGCTTGTAAACCTTTATTAAACCTTTTAGTAAACCTTTTATTAACAATGGCTTATGGCATGTACAAATCTTGTGTTTTGAGTTACACAGACAGTTCAAGAAAGGGCTAGAAAAGTGCACAATGTCGCGATTATTAAGAAGCTAAATAAAGAAGAATATATACAAATTTGGACAGACTAGAAACTTTGGTGTGCCAAGATCGAATTTGAAATGTGCTGCTGAAGAGCTGAATATGAAAAGGGAAACCCTGCGGTAAATTCTAACAAAGGATTTTGTTGAAGAGAAAAATGAAGTATTCCTTCAATAAAAAGCTAAGCAAAGTATTAAGAAACAGGAAAATTTAATTAGAAACAAGAAAAGAGTACCGAAGTGTTACGCAACATCACTCATCCTATATGGCAGTAAATGCTGAACAATCTCCTCACAGATGAAGAAAAGACTTGAGGATACAGAAATGCGTTTCTATAGAATGATGCTGAGAATATCATGGACAGAACATGTGAGCAATGAGGAAGTTTTAGAGAAAACAGAAACTGAAAGGACAGCTATACTTAACATCAGAAAGACACAACGGAAAATTTCTGTGGCATAAAATGATGAAAGAAGGCTCGGAAAACTTGATACTCATAGGACAGATTGAAGGCAAGAAGGATAGAGGAAAACAACGCATAATCTACCTAGCAAGATTGAGTAAATGGATGAGGAGGAAGGGTTTGAAGATATAACAAAATTTATTAAGATCTACAATGGACAGGAAGATGTGGAGAGCCATGACTGTCAACATCCTGAAACGACACGCCATATAGAAGAAAGAGCTTGAGGAATTGGATGGTGGAACAAGGTTGATGATAGATAACAAAAACACAAAATGTATTAAGCTCTAAAAGGACGTGGGCAGTCATGGCTCTCCCCAATTTCCTCTCCTTTGTAGCTCTTAAGAAATGTTGTCTTTCTGTTATCTATCCTAAACCTTATTCCAGCATTCATTCACTCAAGTTCATTCTTCTTCTATGCGCCGTGTACCTTCATGATGTAGGTAATCATGGCTCTCCACAATTTCCTGTCCTTTCTAGCTTTTAATATTTTTCTTTTTTTTTTTTCTCCCTCCTAAACCTTGTTTCTCCAGTCATTTATTCAAATTTATTCTTCGTCTTCTATGTACTGTATAATTTTAGGACGTATGCGGTCATGGCTCTCCCCAATTTCCTGTCCTTTGTAGCTCTTAATAAATTTTTGTTTTTTCTTATCTCTTCTAAAACTTGTTCCACCATCCATTTACTCAATTTGTTAGGTTGGTTATGCAGTATTTTTTCTGACCCTTTTGTCTTCAATTATTCTTGTGAGTATCAAATTTTCCAAGCCCTCTTTTCTCATTATGTGTCCTAGAAATTTCAACTCTGATGTTATGTATAAGTGTTCTTTTTTTGTTTCCATTTTTCCCTAAATCTTCGTCATTACAAAACGACTTTAGATGTATCAGAAAACATTAATCTTCTTCTATGTGTCGTGTTCCTTCAGGACGTAGGAAATCATGGCTCTCCACAGCTTCCTGTCCTTTGTAGCTATTTAGCAATGTTATTTTTTGCTATGTCCTCAAATCCCTGTTCTGCCAACCATTTAAAAAACTCGTCAGGCATGCTATTCGCTAATATCTTGTTTCTCTTTCCTTCAGCATGTCTTGAGAGTGTTAAATTTTCTATGCTTTCTTTCCTCGTTATGTTGCCTCGAAATTTCAATTGTCTCTTTTCTGATTCTAATTATTATTGCTATTTTTCTCTAAAACTTCGTTTTCGCTCACATGAGAAGTCCAGGATATTCTCGGCATCCTTCTGTAGAGCCACCTTCCTCTTGCCTCAAGTCTCTTCAACTGTGTATAAAAGAAAGCAAGATAGCAGTACTAATGAATATTTAGCACGCCCATTCTTCTTTTGGCTTCTTCGTATTAATCTGCGGCTGCAATGTTATGTTTTCCAAGTAGTGTTTTACCATTACTGGGATTTCTTCTTAGTTACATATCTTCTTTTATTTTAGGATTGTAAACGATAGTCACAAGTTGCAGTATATTTAAATATAATGGATGAGCTGGTATCGACAAACGTCGTCGGTATTTGGCTATGATACTTTTACAATACCATTAATAATAATATCATTTGAGTAAATAATGTTATTATGGAGTCGTGCTAAGTTGATGATACTGTCATCGGTTAAATTGTAGTTTAGAATAAAGAGCCTTGAAGACAGACATAATATTTCGGAAGACCTCAATTTCACATATAAGTCGTAAGGCGATGTTTTTGGAACAAGAAGGAAAACTGCCAATTATATTCCGTCAAATATTGAGGCATCATGTGAGGATCGAATCTCACCACCCTCACACGAACTGAACAAATTTTTATTTTTTTATTTTTAATTATTCTTGTTCGTTTACAGTTTTCAATTTTTTAGTAAAGTAGTAAAAATTTGTTTTCGTGTCTGCATTTTTTAAAATAAGCACTGATCGTTAATTTAGTAGTTTGTTTTGATCTGAGGAGTTAATTATAGCAATTTCTCCTCCAGACAGAGTTTACAGGTTTTGAATTAATGTTTGTAGGCTGATGTTGTTTTTCTTTTATTTTTCATGATATTTATGGTGTGATTTGGTTTTTGTTTTTATTCTCTCAGATATGTCTATAAAGCATTGTGCTGTTTACGTATTAACTATTTGGATAGGATATTTTGTGAATAATTTCTTTGTTTCCAGTGTACTTCAGTTACTCCTATGTATACATTTTCCTCGTTATCTGGTGATTTTACAGTGACTTGGTATATTACACTGTTCTGCAAGCAATTGCCGTTTAAGGGACATCCGTTCTTTGTTCTGCAGTCTCACGTGGATTTGATGTGCGCGAGTGTTTTTTATCCACAAGATATTTAACAATAAAAATAAGCTGCAGTTGCACCGGGAACATGACACAAATAATAAAAGAGCACAACAGGAAAACAATCAACAAACTTAACAATCGAAAACCAAGAGCCAACAAGAATAATTAGAAATAAATAAATAAAATAAAATAACAATAAATATATAAAATAGATTAATCCAAACCAATAAATAAACAAATTAAAAAACTACAAGTACAAGTAATAATAACAACCAACAATAAAATAATCAATAATCAACAATGAAAAAGTTAATAAACAAGCCGCTAAATTAGCCACAAAACTGCACGTGAATCCGCAATCCTTTCCACCCAGTAGGCCCTTAAATAATACGAAACATAAGCGTTACATCCCACCCAAATAACGGTTAGAATAATACAACAGGCCTATCTATAATGCATCACTGTGTATATAAATAGTCAAGCAAAGACACGACGCGCATGGCCTGACGATTGTATTCAAGCATAGATAGATAGATAGGTAGATATGAAGAGACTGAGATAGATAGATATGGAGAGACTGAGATAGATAGATATGGAGAGACTGAGATAGATAGATATGGAGAGACTGAGATAGATATGAAAAACTGTGATTGATAGAAAACAGATAGATAAGAGAGATAGATAAGAGATAGATAGATAGATAGATAGATAGATAGATAGATAGATAGATATGTACAGGAGAATATATATATATATATATATATATATATATATATATATATATATTGAAAATTAATGACCAAGTGTAAAAAGGAACGCTGAAGATCTAAAACAATGTTCTGGTATAAAGAAATGTATGTTCTGTTATACAAAGGTTATATATATATATATATATATATATGTGTGTGTGTGTGTGTGTGTGTGTGTGTGTGTGTGTGCGCGCGCTTCAGAAATTCCGCAGTTTAATAATGGATACAGTATTTTCTACCCTTGAATCATTATTTTTCTGCGTAATCTTTCTTGTTCAGAATACGAGAAAATATTACAATCACAGATCGAATGAAAATATAGAATTCAGCTAATTATACGCATATTATGACGTCGTCTTAATTCTGTGTCATCTAAATAATGATTCAACCCTTTGGCTACACGATAAGATATAAACTTAGCAAAAAAAAATCAAAATAAATTCTTTTGTTAAAAACATCATGATAAAATTCAAAAAGTTGATGTACTGATAATTTATTTGTCGAAAGATCGGGAGATCTCGCAAACCTTAGGCAAATTTCAATAAGATGACTGCCACAGGAAAATCGCCAACACACCATCCACAACTGGCTAACCTGCTTTTCTGTCCGAGATAATATTGCCATCATATTTCAGTGTCCCTCTACTACTTTTGCCTAGATTCGAACCCCTTTTCCTGATTGACTTCTACGCCTATTGGCATAAGTCGGGTTTGCTGAAGAGCCTGGGGCCAACGCGCCAAATGAATGAAAGGAAATACCAAGTGATGCAAATCTAATCGATACTGGACCAGCACCAAGTCAATGACTAATCGATTGGCAGATTGATATAATTAAGAGGCCATAAAGCTGGATACTTTTATTGGCATCGCTGGAAGGAAGCGACAGAACAACAGAGTGGAGACCGCAAGTAGGCATGAATGCAATGAACGAAACAAGAAATGCTTACGGCCATTTGAAATACCGGCTCTTCTATAATCTGCGAAGTTGAGTCAGTATTTAGACGGGTGGCCGCTTGGGAATATCAGGTGCTGTAAGGACTGAATGTCCGGAGTCGGGGGGTGCAGAGAGTAATGGATAACGGCTCAGAATTGGTGCTGAGTTCTAATTGGAGTCGGGTATGTTATTTTCCCTTACGCGGAAATACCCTCAGGAAATGTGGGAATTCACCTCTTCTCTCCTCCCCAGCTATGGGTTAATTAGTAAGACTTGTGCCAATAAAGAATCATGATATCTCCTAAAATTCTTATGATCTAAAAATATTTTTCTGGCTTTAAATAACCGGCAGGTCATATACTATTTACATTATTTGGACTACTGGTCTCATCTTTGTCGCCATATTTATTACAGCGTTTCGGCCGCTGTACGCTCCGGCCTTCTTCAGGTGGTTGGAATGTCGAACTGAACCCTTTATTTCGCATACTGGGGTAGACTATTCTAGTTTCACGTGCCATGTTTAATGGATGTCAGTTATCAGTTATCTCCTGTTAATTTCCCTCTCCAAGTTCTCCACTGCCTGAACCGGCTATTGAACTCATATATATATATATATATATATATATATATATATATATATATATATATATATATATATCGAAAAAGCAGAATCTATAAACAGTTTTTTGTTTTAAATTTTTGAGTTTCCCAAACGACTGATAACGTAGTGGAAATAGAAATTTACGTTATTTTAAGCTTAACAAAGAAAGCGTTAGAATTTCTGAGTGTGTTACCATATCTTTTGTAAAATGGTTCGGAAAAAAGCTACACTCGTATTTGAATGATTTTTACTGATCAAAGATTCAACCTGATACTTTAAAAATTAGTCTATATTTGCTCTAAATACAAAAGATTTGGAAAGATTCAAATAAAAAAGAAAGTAAATAAAAAAAAAAGTGATTACTGCTACAAAATTTTTATTGTTTTCATAATCGCTTGCCATGGAATGAGATATTTCCTCATTGGATCTAATTTTGACGATCCAACAAAATGTCATCCACAAACCCACCGATTGCGTCACTGATATCACATGTTTTTCTTTGATGACTTTATGGTACTTCGGCGTTATAATTTCTAAATATGTTACCGTAATTTTTACGAAGATACAACTTTGTATAAGCCGCAACCTTAATTTGAAGAAAAAGTTTTGGAAAAAAAGCTACACTTGAAAGATTTCTTATTAAACCAAAATTCAACCTGATAGGAATAAGTTGAAATCTGATTCATTCAAAATTAGTCGATATTGTTCTTATAGAAAAGAGTTGCAAAGCTTCAAAATAAGAAAATACTGCAAATACAAAATTCCTCATTGTTTTCACCTTCGCTTGGAAAGGAATAAATGATATTATCTTTGGTTTCATTCTAACAATAAAAGAGAATGTCATCCCAAATTCCATTCTATTGTGTTACTGATACCACACTTCTTAAATGACTTAAATCACTATATTACTTTCTTTTCTCCACAAATTCTCCACCCACATAAACACTTGAGCAAACATTGATTTTTTACTTCGACCAGTAAGGGAAGGGGGGGGTCGAAGCAAAATCTTCTTGCCGAATCCTATTGTTCCATTCCTCGATCATTAATGTCTTAAAGAACTGACTTAATAGAAACATCTAAAGTTTGTAGTTGACTTGTTAAACCGCCGAGTATAAAAGCCAGTTTTGTTTTTATCGCATTAACTTTTCCTTTTATTTTCTGTTTTTTCTTTTCTTTTCTTTTCTTTTTTTTTTTTTTTTTGTTTGCTTATATATTATTCTCACTACATTGTATAAGACGCAAATCAAATTTAGGGTAAAAAAATGTGATTCTTTTCAACTAAAAAATGGTAAAATGATTTCTGCATCCGGGTTATTTTTAGCTCAAAAGATTAATGGATAATTGCATTGTGCTCATAAAACATATTTTTATGAAAGCTTCTGCATTTGGACTTTGGAATTTTGATTATCAACGTGGATTATTGAAAAAATAACGTTTCTCCAGGAAATTAGTTCTTCCTGAATAGACAATAAGTTCATCGTTCTTTGCCAAAAACTTGTAAGATAGATAGATAGATAGATAGATAGATAGATAGATAGATAGATAGATATGAACAGAATGTGATAGATAGATAGATAGATAGATAGATAGATAGATAGATAGAATAGAATGTGATAGATAGATAGATAGATAGATAGATAGATAGATAGATAGATAGATAGATAGATAGATAGATATAAACAGAATGTGATAGATAGATAGATAGATAGATAGATAGATATGAACAGAATGAGATATGAACAGGCTGATAGATAGATAGATAGATAGATAGATAGATAGATAGATAGATAATCTTAATTTTGTTTTTTTTTTTTTTGGTTTTTTGCCTTCTTTCTATCGGTTTTGCATTGTTCTTGAAGAAATTCTACTTTTCCTTCCGGTGTCTATAAACGAATTTTCAAGGCAGACACATACAACCAATTTTTCTGCCACAGAAGTTATTAGACTTACAAACATTAAAATCAACAATACTTAAAGAATATAAACATATCATTATCTATAGAAATCCTTGATGGGTACAGCTCGGTAAATTTTCTTCGAGTGCCTGATTTCAAGGGTGAAAATCTATCATAATTGCGCAGCGTCCCTTGTTGAGAATAATAATAAGTATAATAATAATAATAATAATAATAAATACAGAGGCCACGAAATAGAAATCAGTGGAATTTGGCATCTCAAGGCCGCAGCATCTCTTGTTGTTATTGAGTCTTTGGCAATGATACCAAACGAACAAACAAACAAGATGGTGGAATAATATATGATAGTCCTAAAATATCTGAATTTAAATAATCATAGTCATGGGGACTTCTCACGTCTTGCAGAGGTTTCTCTGCATTCAATGACCACAATTATTTCAGCCTAATTACACTGGCCACTCATTTGATTCCATCTTCTGAATAGAAAATAAAACAGAAACAAATTTCAAGTCTCTAAATGAGACCTGGGACCAATAATAATAATAATAATAATAATAATAATAATAATGATGATGATGATGATAAGAAGAAGACGACTATGGTGGGCGTTATTTCAGGGCAAAGAAAATACTTTATTGACGAAATGGTTGGTTCTTTACAATTTAAGGTTCGTGACAAGCACACAAAAACAATGAATATATGCAAAAGCAAATTCAAAACACGTCTGTAGACTTTTCAAGTTCAAAATATGTCCCTGCTGAAAAAACGACAAAAATATCAAAAAGGACAGAAGAAAATGTCTCTTTTCCCAACATAAAATATTCGCTGATGTTCTTCTCTTGTTAGAAAATCAATAACAATCAAAGGAAAAAAAAGATCCTTACAAGGAATTCAGTTCGATCTCGGCCCTAATGTCGGAAACAACAAAAATACTTACGTATTTTATTTATTTACTTTAGCTGCAATTTTAATTTTATTTCAGAAATTTATTCT